TGAGAGAATTCGTTTAATTTACTTGGGCTCCAACTTAATCAGGCCTCCCCGGCCGCCTCCAACTTCTGCATGTTTTTTGCGCAAAGTTCATGCTTGTCGTGCTTGGGGGCGTTTGCATGTCCACGTGTCTTCGCCTTCGGCTGTCTCTCTGTCTCTCTCTCTTTCTCTCTTTTTCTTTTTTCCCCCCTTTCTCTGTCTCTCTTTCTTGTTTCCTTTGTTCTGTAGTTGTTTTGTTGTTTTTTTTGCTATTTCGTTATCTCTTTCTACAGTCGGAACCGAGGATAATGATGAGTAACATTCCTGAGGGTACCCTTGTGTCCTTGCTTCTTTGGCCCATTATTAAAACCCCTCTCGATGGCCAGCCCCGCTCCAAGAGCTCCGGGATGGGCGTCCAAGGGGCTTGCATCCCGATCGTGCATTTTGCAGCCATTTTTTTTGTTTGTGTGTGTGTGTGTGTGTGTTTTGTTGTTGTTGCAGTTGCTGTTGCTGTTGTTGTTCTTGTTATTGTTCTTGTTGTTGTTGTGGTTGACTTCTCATTTCTGAAGAGTAGTTATTGTTGATCCCCCCCGCCAGTGCATACTTTTTTTCTCAATCAAAGTGTGCCCCTCGACGCTCGCACCTTGTTTTTTGACAGGGAAAGTCCTTCTGCTCAAAGTGGCCCCCTGGCCCCCAGGTTACAACAACAACGGCTCCCGCTTGAGACTTCCTTACAATTTTTGTCAGGACCCCCGCTCCCGCCCGAGACTTCCTCGCATTTTATTCAGGAATCGCGCTCTCGCTTGGGACTTCCTTACAATTTATTGAGGAATCGCTCTCCCGGCGCTCTGGAGTCGCGCTCTCGCTGGAGACTTGTTTGCAACTTACTGAAGAATGGCCTTGCGTTGGAATTTATTGCAATTTGCCCAAGCGCCGCGCTCCCGACACCCAAGCACCCAGGAATCGCGCCCGTTGTGGCCCCATGTGCATGCCCTTCGTGGCCCCGCTGTCGCCATTTGTGTCCCCCTCATTGTCCTAATTACGTGGCCCAGTTGCTACCCTCAGTGGCCCCATAGTTGCCTTCTGTGGCCCCGCATTATCTGCACTTCGTGGCCCCCGCTCGTTTGCGTTCTTCGTGGCCCCATATGCATTCCCTTCGTGTCCCCGCTGTCGCCCTTCGTGGCCTACTTCGTGCCCTTCGTGGCCCTGCTGTCGTTTTCTCTCGCTCTCGCTTTCGCTCGTCGTCGCCGTCGTCGTCGTCGTCGCCGTCGTCTTCGACGTCGTCGTCGTCGTCGTCGTCGTCGTCGTCGTCGTCGTCGTCGTGGTCGGTCCCCTGTCCGTCCCTCTTGGGGTCGGGTCGACGGTCCGCGGCCGCCCCGCCGATCAGCGCTGCCGCTGGCCAGGCCGACGGTCCGCGGCCTCCCCGCCGCTTGCTGGGGCCCGGCCTGCAGGGAAGAAAGGTATACCCCCCAGAAGGGGTTCGATCGAACACGAAGAGGGCAGGTATCGAGGGTTTGGGAAATACGCGTTATTGGACACTCGAGCATGTAAGGGCGAACGATCTTGAATTTATTATTGTTGTTGTTGTTGCTGCTGTTGTTGTTGTTGCTGTTGCTGTTGCTGTTGTTGCTGTTGTTGTTGTTGTTGTTGTTGTTGTTGTTGTTGTTGTTGCTGTTGCTGCTGTTGTTGTTGTTGTTGTTGTTGTTGTTGTTGTTGTTGTTGTTGTTGTTGTGTTTTGTTCTTTTCCTGTGTTCAAGCATTTTTTGCTCTTCTCTCTCTCTCTCTTCCTCTCCCCGTCCCGTGCTGCCTGCCCTTCGCGCCGAAGGCCGGGCAGGGCTGGGGTGGAGGAGGGCCCCTCCGACGGGGAGGGCGGGAGGGGGTACGAGCAAGCTCGGTGCGCTCGCGTCATATCTGACGTCCTACCCCTCCCTTTCATCGCTTACCTCGGGGGCGGCAAAGAGGGGGGCGATGACTGGGGGGGGTGGATATCATGGCGTGGGCCATGATAGTTCCCCAGATTTCATGGCGCCTCTTCTTATTTCAGTACGTTCCTGGCCCCCCGCTGGGCCACGCACATGCCGCTGGTCATGATTTGCCCCCCCCCGTCTTTGACACCCCTTTCTTGGCCGCTCCCGATTACCATCGTAGATCTCCTCTCTATTCGCACAATCGGATGTCGTAGCATGGCATAGCATTACACGGCGTAGCATGGTGTCGAAGATCAGCTCGTCGGAGGGGGGGGGCAAGGGGGAGGGTCAGAGGAGGAAGAGGTCCCCATGCCGCTAGTCATCCCTCGTTTTTGCCCCTGCTGGGCCTCCTGGGGGTCCCCCGTCGCCACCGCTGGACTCGCCTCGAACTTCTGGTCAGAACTTATCCCGGGAGAGGTCCCCATGCCGCTCGTCATCCCTCGCATTGCCCCTGCTGGGCCTCCTGGGGGTCCCTCGTCGCCACCGCTGGACTCGCTCTGCACTTCTGGTCAGAACGCATCCCGGGAGAGGTCCGGGGAGTAGCGGTAGGGGTAGTTTTTGGTTTCCCCCAGACCGATCTTGCTTCTTAGGAGGCGCGGGCCTCGTCTGTAGATGCAGGGCTGGCTCAGTGTCGCCGCGGACGTGGTCAATTTGGGGCAAACGTCGCCAGCCCAGCAACGACCGTTGCAGGGTTTGGACGACACTCGCAGTTGGATGTCGTGCCCATTTTTGTGCTCGCTCTCGCCCCTCGCCTCCTCTGCCCTGGCAGCCCGGTCACAGCCCTGCTGCGCTCGGGGGCCCCTAAAAACGGTGCGGTGATCACACCGCGCGGTGAGTCGGTGGGGATTCGGGCTCCCCGCGCGCCGAGGGCGTCTCGGGCGACTGGGGCCTCCGAGGTCCCCAAACCGCGCGGTGGACGGACCGTGCGGTGGTGCCTCTGGGGATCTTGAGGCCACCGCACGGTCTGTCACCGCGCCGCTCCGCCTGCGCGTTCGCTGTCGTCTGCCTGCGTCGTCCCTCCTCTCTCCCCCTGCGGGACGGGAGAATTACCACAGCCACTGCTTCTTGTTTGCGCCGCCTTCCAACCGGCCGAAAAAGAAGCAGTGGTTGTGGTCATCTCCCCGGTGCCAAGCTTAACGAAAATGACCACAACCACTGCTTTGTTTCTGCTGGCTGGAAGGCGGCAACAAAAGAAAAGCAGTGGCTGTGGTCGTTTTCACGTCCCGTACCCCCCTTCGCTGGACGCCGCAGCTGGTCCAGGCCCCGCGTGGCGACATGCCGAGTTCTGGCCGCCGGCCCGGGCGACGGGCTCCGGGCAGCTGCTTTCGGCGGAGGTGAAGTCCATTCGGAGTAAGAAGGAGGAGGAGGAGGAGGAGGAGGAGGAGGAGGAGGAGGGGAGGAGGAGGAGGAGGAGGAGGAGGAGGCGGAGAGGAGGAGGAGGAGGGGGGAGGAGGAGGAGGGGAGGGAGGAGCAGGAGGCAGGAGGAGGAGGAGGAGGAGGAGGAGGAGGAGGAGGAGGCGGAGGAGGAGGAGGAGGAGGCGGAGGAGGCGGAAGGAGGGGGAGGAAGAGGAGGCGGAGGAGGAGGAGGAGGAGGAGGGAGGAGAGGAGGAGGAGGAGGAGGAGGAGGAGGAGGAGGAGGAGGAAGGAGGAGAGGAGGGGGAGGAGGGGGAGGAGGAGGCGGATGATGATGATGATGATGATGATGATGATGATGATGATGATGATGATGATGATGATGAGGAGGAGGAGGAGGAGGAGGAGGAGGAGGAGGAGGAGGAGGAGGAGGAGGAGAGGAGGAGGAGGAGGAGGAGAAGGAGAAGGCGGAGGAGGCGGAGGCGGAGGCGGAGGCGGAGGCGGAGGCGGAGGCGGAGGCGGAGGCGGAGGAGGAGGAGGAGGAGGAGGAGGAGGAGGAGGAGGACCAGTGTAAACCCAAGAGTCATCAACGATGTTGGAATGAACCCTCCCTCCAAGCTCCCTCTTCATAAGCCCCTACAGCGGCTCATTTCCATTGATGGAACTGCCTCGTTGGAAGACAACCGTTTGAAGACCTTGAAGCATACCAAAACATTGTTCTCGGGAGTTCCACGCCACGAGTCAACTTGAGTGCTGCGTCCCGGCGATCTGCAATCGTGCCAGACGCCGTTTTTGTGACTGGAACACCACGAACTAACATAACTGTTGCACCCGCATAGTCATGAATCCTTCCAAAACACAATTTCTGGTACGTTGATCATGGAATTCCGTAAACCTCTCGCAATTTCTTAAAACGAAGGTGCGCGGCGCTAAGGCGAGAGCCACATTTTGAAAACGACCCGCCCTCAATCCGTGAAACACTTGCGTTAAAAAACGAATGTGCGCGGCGCTAAGGCAAGAGCCACATTGTGAGAACGACCCGCCCTCAATCCGTGAAGCTCTTGCACTTTTTGAATAACGAAGTGCGCGGCGCTAAGGCGAGAGCCACATTCTGAAAAGGAATCGCCCTCAATCCGTGAGACTCTGGGATTTTTTCACAACAAATGTGCGCGGCGCTATGGCAAGAGCCACATTTTGAGAACGACCCGCCCTCAATCCGTGAAGCTTTTGCACTTTTTGAATAACGAATGTGCGCGGCGATAAGGCGAGAGCCCCATTTTGAAAAGAACCGCCCTCAATCCGTGAGACTCTGGCAATTTTTCACAACGAATGTGCGCGGCTCTAAGGCGAGAGCCCCATTTTGAGAACGACCCGCCCTCAATCCGTGAGACTCTGGCAAATTTTAAAACGACTGTGCGCGGCGCTAGGGCGAGAGCCCCATTTTGAAAACGACCCGCCCTCCATCTGTGAAGCTGTTGCCATTTTCCAAGCTTCGAAGTGGTGAGGAAGTCTGAGGCGAAACGCCCCGCCCGCCCCGAAAGCTGGCCTCGGGGTGCGACAGGGGGAGATGTAGTGAATGAGGAACAGGACTGGAGCCTTCCTTGCTGCTCCCGCTCCACCACGTCCGCGCCACCCGCACCGCCTGGAGGCCTCCCACACCTCCCCCCCCCCTCCCCCCGGCGCTGCCGCCCCCACGGCCGAGAGGCGAGACGCGGCACGACGCCGCTTCGCGGCCCGCCTGGAGCAGAGGAGCGCCGCCCTTCTCCGCCGACCGGCTGCGCGCTCCCTTCGGGTGTGGGGCGGGTTGCAGGATGTCCTCCCTGGCCCTGACAGGGAATTACGTGTATGTGGGTATGTGTGTGTATGTGTGTGTATGTATGTATGTATGTATGCATGCATGCATGCACGCATGTATGTATGTATGTATGTATGTATGTATGTATGTATGTATGTATGTATGTATGTGTGTATGTGTACATGTCTGTCTGTCTGTCTGTCTGTCTGTCTGTCTGTCTGTCTGTATGTATATATGTTCGTATGTATGTATGTGTACATGTATGTGTACATGTACGTATGCATGCATGCATGCATGTACGTATGTGTCTGTGTGTATGTGTACATGTCTGCCTCTCTGTCTGTCTGTATGTATGTATGCTCGTATGTATGTATGTATGTATGTGTACATGTATGTATGCATGTATGTATGTATATATGTATGTATGCATCTATGTATGTATGTGCGTATGGTTTTTTTGTATGTATGCAGGTATGTATGCATGCATGCGTGCATACATGTGTATATATGTATGTAATGTATGTATGTATGTATGCATATGTGTGTGTAATCTATGTTGTAATGTAATGTGCTGTAATATACTGTACTGTACTGTAATGTAATGTAATGAAATGTAGTGTAATGTCATGTAATGTATGTATGTATGTATGTACGTTTGTATATATGTATATCTGCACGATTGTCTGTATGCATGCATGTATGATGTATGTACGTACGTATGTACGTCTGTACGAATGTACGTATTTCTGTAGGTATGCAGATCAGTCGGCATTGTGTATGTATGTATGTACGTATGTATGTCTGCACACATGTATGTATGTATGTATGTATGTATGTATGTATCTATGTATGAGTGTATACATGCATGCATGCATATGTATGTTCTATGTATATATATATATGTGTGTGTATGTATGTATGTATGTACGTACGTACGTACGTACGTACGTATTTGTGTATGTATGTATGTATGTATGTATGTATGTGTGTGTGTGTATGTATGTATGTATGTATGTATGTATGTATGTATGTATGTATGTATGTATGTATGTGTGTAAGCATGTATGTGTGTAATCATGCATGTATGCATACATGTCGACATGTATGTAAGTATGCATGTATGTAAGTATGCATGTATGTATGCATGCATGCATGCATGCATGCATGTATGTATGTATGTATGTATGTACGT